CAACCAAATTCCAAAATGTGTTGAGAGTTAAGGGTTATATGTAATACCTCCCTATAATATTAAACACTTTTCGTGAAAAGGTACCTACTTGTTTCCTGCAGTATACTACCTCAAGAAGATCTAAATTTATCGATTTAAAAGCCGCTATAGTATTTAAAATTGAGCCGACATTCCATACTGTTTGAATTAAGCCGTTCATTTTAAAAGATAACTAGATAACTGTTGCAGCACTTGCTCTTTCTTAGCGCGATTACATTACGGAACTTTTAATAATTAAAATCTCGCGCTTTTAGTTGTTAAGTTTGTTAGTGTAGGTGCCTAGGTTCGTAAAGAAACAATTTACAATATTGAGTTCCTTCAGCGTTAATAACGGTACCGTGTGTTATTGCAATTTTGTCACTCGACTTCAACAAATTGAATTTTAATGTATCTGTGTTATGGACATTACAAAAGTAGGTACCTACGGATAAGGTGACGGTGACCACATTTCAATAAAACCTACATCTTCCTACTAACAGCCAATCAGTCGCGCATAACCGATCGATTAGCCATTCATACTAAAAAGTGTCAGTTCAAAGTGAGTTACTATTAAAAATACCGACAGCACTTCGTCTTCATTGTGCTGTTGTAATTAGATAATGATAATTGATACTAATAGAGACAATTATCTTGCAAGTATGAAGAGTGAATGAAACAATTCAACCGGAAAATTAAGCGTCTACCCTGAGAGATAATTATCTATACTTGTACGTATCTACCTAAATTAGAATGTAAGGATCTTGTCTAATTAAATATTTCTAAATCAGCATTATAACAAGATAAGACTTAATTATTCAGACAATTAACAGTTGTAGCCAAACATGTATGGACGAAATTAATTTTTAATTTCTTTTTTGCCTTGTGGTGTCCATTACTCAATATGTTCGAAGAAATGCGACTTCGTGTTAGATCGGTGTTTAATTACAGTTGTTTGACAATTGACATACAACAATAGACTCAGATAGTATGTCGTGGTTATATTTCAATTTGTTTATTTAAATTGAGGATGAAAGTACACCCACCCACTTCTAGGATTACTCCATCCTTAACAATAACAAGCTGTTTACTGGTCTTTACTTACTAACTTACTGTAATTTATTGTTGCAGTTGGCCTGAAGGTTACCTTTTTGCTTGATTAAGAACTTAAATCAAGCGATTTATTATGAATGTTAAAAAGTAACAATTAACATTGCGGCAACTTACTCTGAAAATCCATTCTCTTTATTTGATTTGATAGCTCATATAGCTAGGAAACATTTTTTAGATCACGTACCCCTGCTCGGTAAGCCCCAAAATAAGAGCAACATACGTATCTACAGGAAAAACTGCTGGCCCCTAAACTAACTAACCGAATAAAACTCAAAACCTTAAAAAATGCCGATGCCAAAAAACCTAAACAACTAACCTATCCCATTAAAAATTTCAAAATCTTCACCACTTCATCCCCATCATGGGCATTTGAAATTTGATATCCAAGTCATGCAGTGTGTCGATTACCTTTGAGCCTTTAAATTCTGTTCTTCTATAGTGGCGATTCTTTCTTCTTGGTTCTCTTTCTGCACCATCCTCTTTTGTAATTTCCTTTGAAGTTTCAAGTTTGACTCATGTATTTTAAGAAAATTTGTGTTTTAGCTAAATTTTCTCTCAATTTTTCTGCTTTATTTGTCATTTCCGCCATACTCTTCTGCTCGGTAGTTTGCTGTGGATAAAGAAAGGGCATCCTCTTGCTCACTACCGTCACTAAATTTGGATTGGTGGCTTTTCCTAACTCCTTTTCCTTCATCTTCTGCAATTTCTTCCTTAACATGGTGTCATTGAGTAAGTAAATAACTTACTTTTCTTTTTCTTTATTGCCAATTTCTTGGGTTTTTTCAATTTTCATTTGTGATACTCTCTCATCTTCTTCGATTTTTTCCGTTCCTGTTTTTATTCTAGTTTTTTGATTATAATTTCGTATACAGTTAATTAGCTGTCTTTCCTCCTAGGTTCGGATGTGTCTTTCGAGCGATTAGGGGAGCTCTAACTTTGTACCTGCGTCGCGTCGGTGGTTTTCCTGTTTCTGGTTAGTAAATGAATTCGACCACCTCCACGTTCCTTGGTGTCTGTCTTCTTTGCAGTCGTAATTATTATTCTGGTGGAAAATGTCAGGTGGTGGCATGCACCAATTGTTCACAGATGGAAGAAAACGCCTTCAAAGAACCTACGTTCTAAATGTCAAGTCTCGCCGAACATGGTCGTTTGGGTTGTTGTATCTTCGAGGGGTTGCCAATCGGATTCGTATCGTATCTTGAATATTTTCTAACCAGTATTGTCTCATAAAGCCATCCTTTAATTCCTGAAAATTATTCCATCCTTGATTATGAAGCTCCTCAGGAACCCATTTAGAAGATTTCCGATACAATATGGAATTTAAATGGAAAACTTATTATCTTCTTATAACCCAAATAAATATACAGGATGTTACATATAAGTATGCACAAAAATTTGGGTGGTACAGGGAATCAAATAAACCGAGGATCCAACGTATTTCGTTTAGGAGCCACCCACAAACAAGTGGTGAAATTTACATTTCTTTTTTAATTTTTGTCTCAGAAACCATAAGAGTTATAAAGACTGGTGGCACGTCTTTGAATAGGTTTTGGGGTATGCTCTTTCCGATTTTGCAATAATTTTTTTACAACTCTTACCACAAAAAAATTTTGATTTCGATGAAATTTGGTATCTGGAGGTTTTTGAACATGAAAATCACGAATCTGAAATTAGTTTTTGAAAATTCGAACTTGTTTAAAATTAAACAACAAGAATTATAGACATATGTAGGTTCTTTTCTCAATTTTGACTATCACATTTGATATCTAAGTAGACCATATTACTATCAGAGTAAAATCTCCGCTAAAATCTCAAAATAGTAACGCGTCTCTCAAATGTTTTCTTTTACTATAACGCATCGAATTTTCTTTATAAAAAAGTACGATAAATGGTGTAATTTTTCACAATGCTCGATTTTACATGTCCATAAATATTTTATTCAAAAAGCTAACCGGATCCCGCTTACATTTTAAATGGAAAAATTGAACGTGTGATCAATCATCTGAAGCAGAACCCCCTTACGTTAGCTGTAAACGATGCTATGACCTGAAGTTCGGTAGGGAAGGAACGTAACATAAAACATTGACATGCCAGGTGTGTTTAATAATTGTTGTTCTCATTATCAAGATTGCGAAATTTACTCGAAATAAATTAAATTGCAAGAAAAAACTTTGAAAATGGTAGTTCACCGAGTAAAAATAGTATGCTGTGAAGAAAGACCTCACCAAGAAAAATAACCAGCGGACAAATTAATATTAAACTGTATAGCAAAATTAATTGTTTGTATAATGACATGCATGCATATCATAAAATTATAACAACAATATAAACGGGGGCAAACATCGACATACTCGTACATAAACAAAATATATAGGCCTCGAGAGATGACATATTTGCACCGACTTAACAATAGGTTGACACAAAACCAATATTCAGTTATTACATGTCAAAAGTAAAGTAAAAGAATCGATCAGCAATAGGTATCAGCAAGGTGGCTATTTTCTAAGACACATAAAAGCAAGTACATATAAATACTCGTATATCTCTGCGTATGTCAGGTGGCTTATTTGCACTTTTACCTGTAACGCACAAGTCGAGATTTCAAAGAACGAGGAGGTATATTACCAGTGGCGGATTTACATATAGGCACACTAGGCACGTGCCTAGGGGCGGCAGCTTTAGGGGGCGGCATTTTTTTGCACTATATTTATTTTAGATAATATTTTAAGTTTTAAAATAAATCCCCTAACAAGTTACAAATGAAAAAAAATTTAAAATTATGAAAGAAATTGGAATTGGTAGACTGTTTAAACAAACTTAACTGTAAGAACGATAATCGACAATGCAAGTTTTGACGTGTGTGAAAACGTAATGTTAGGTACTGTATTTCTATTCATATTAGTTTTAAAAATTTCAAGGTATAATGTGATTTTTATTAGCATGTTAATGTTTATTGAAATTTAAAGATTATTTTTGGAGGGGCGCATTTCTTTTGGTGTGTCTAGGGGCGCAAAAAATTTAAATCCGCCACTGTATATTACATATTCGAAATAAGTCCCCCTGCTAAGTATTGATATCTATTATAACTCGTTTCAAATAAATAGTGGGAATTACGTTAATTAACATCGCAACAAAAAAAAGAAACAAGTCGTGGCAAAATATTAGCACTAAGTAATTAAGACAACATCAAGTACAAGTCTTCAACAATCTTGACCTTTGATTAATAAATTGAAAAAGGTAGTTAGTACAGTACTGTGTGTAGTAAGTATACTTCGTAGTGGAATAAGTCTGCGTTTTGATCAGTTATTTTAATAGTCAATAATCTCGGATGAAAAATAACAAAAGTTTCTTTATAATGATTCTTTTGGATTTTTTTTGGATCACTGGAACTTTTTTGAATTTTTGAATTTTGTTTTATATTTTTTAAATCACTTGAATTTTTTTTCTCAGCCATGGTGTGTCATATCTGAAAAGCGACTTTAACATTTTCAGATTAAATATACAGGGTGTTCCATTTAAAAGAATGAGGTTGTGTGTGAAATTTTTTCCTTGACTGGCTACTATTTTGAAAACGGTAGATTGTTTGACAATCATCTTTTTTAACAATATCTATTTGAACGAATAAAACATAGGACCATTCTGAATTTTTATAGCACTAATAATTACGGAGATATCCTATCGAGAATGAGACACACTATGCACTATTTGCATCACGATGTCCATAAAGACAATGTTTTAATGTAAAGTAAATAGTAAAGGGGGATATTTGCAATTTGTTTCAAACTGCACTCAGAATTTCCTGTGGAAGTCGATTATAGACCTTATTATTTATTTATTGTATTACCTACCTCTGAATGCGCATTTATTTTCAGAGTAGCCGCCGGTTACACACCTCTCTCCTCCTGCACATCATCTTTTATGGTAAGTGATAATAATTATTATTTTATGGCATGTTGCTGTATTGCATTTCATCGCTAAAATCAGCGAATTTCGGAATAAGGCAAAAAACTCTTCTGCATATTTTTGCAAAATAATACTGTAAGTCAAATCAGCAAATTCTATCGACTTGAAAGTTTATTTAGTTTAGAAGATGGAAGTAGGAAAGTGAACTTTTAAGAACAATTCCAATTATGGAACCCTCTAAAGTCTAAAGGGTGAAGGTTACCAGATTATCTTTTAGGAGTCGATATTCAGATTTAAAATACAAGTTTGACTGTGTGTCCTACGCGTAGTGATTTTAGGGACGGGATTTCACTGATCGTATGGACTAACGATGGGGCCATATATTTTATATCTATTTAGATTTTTTACGTGAAAGAATGAAATATGTAGGCTGCGGATCGTGTAGCTTACATGTACTATTAAGTAACATACTTGCTTAATAAGTAGATCAATTAGGCACAAAACGTAAACTTAAGAAAGCTATTTCCTCTTCCGATTTACAGACGAGTACACTAAAGGAACTCATTTCAATCATCTACAGTGCAGTGTGTTTCTCTAAATTTACGCATTACCGCTTTTGTATACCTCATTACTGATATTGTCATAATCAGTAAGTAATTTAATCTACCCAGGCATATCGTACTTAGGGATTCTTGCCCAAATCGCTTTCCTACATAAATCTAAACTTAGGAATGTTACCCTCCGTTTTATTTATACTTACTGAAGTCCTACAACAGCTGGATTAGGCTGTTGCAATTGAAAAATAGATAAGTAAGAACAAGAAGACTGACAATTTGTCTTCCGAGTCAGATTACACTTTGGGATAGGGTAGTGGAGCAGTTTCTTTCTGAAAGTGTTCATATACGGCAAGTTCCATATGCAACGATTTAACATCTGAATAGTGAATGAGTGAACTGTCAACGTAAAATTAAACAAGACATTTTTATTAGATTGTCAGTTGGAAGGATATTTCTTGTTTCCCCTCGTTGTTTCTTGTTTTACGTACGGAAGTATGCTGAATACTTATATGCAATAAAAAGTTTTCTAATCTGATTTTAGTCATAGCAATAAACTCTTGGAATTGAATGTCCCAGTTGAAATATACTCCCTTCCGGAAAATTAATAAAAAAAATGCTTGAAAACGTCAAATTTGTATCGTATGGCGGGGTACTAAATTTAATCCATAGAGTCATTTGAAAGTTTATTCAATTCTCCATCGTGTTTTATTGAGTTTTATTGGAATATCGTAGGTGTGTTTAGACCAGCGGAATGTGACTACATATATGTGCTGCTGGAAATGCATGTTTGTTAAATCCCTGGTGCTTCAAAACGCGTATTTCCGTCAAAAAAATGGCAGGTCATTTTCTACCCCAATGCAATACCTCCTCTACTAACGTGCGGGTGGGAGCAAGAGGGTGATCCTATTACAGATTTAAAACTACGCCAGTAAGACAACAGAATTTAAAGACCATCCCATCTCACCTGCTTCCAAAGTATATGCTACATGTTACATAAAATTAGGGACAAATTCTCTTAAACATAGGTTCAAAATCGGTTCAAAACCCCAGAAGAACGGTCTCGGAGTTTCCGAAGCCACAGGTAATCATATGCACAAACAGAATACTCCAGGGATGGACGGGCGACCGCTGGGGAAAACCTAAAACAAAATTATGGAAACGATAATAATCTCCCCAAACCGGAACGGAATCAAAAATTATTTATTAACGGTATCTATGTATAGCTAGTGGAACGCGACACAAAGATAACCCCCCATTATAATTAACGGAAAGAAAAGTATCAAATACCTACTTTAAAATTTACGGTACGGTAAGAAATTGCAATAAAACGCCAAAACTTCACTTACAGAATTGAAATCTAATTAACCTTTTATAAAATCCGCCAATTTCTGGAAGGGAACGTTGGGCTTTCCATAAAGCACGGCGAACTCGTATGATAACGCTCAAAATTGAACATTCTTTAATTCATTGCTCGACTCTCTGGCGTCCTAAAAATCTGGCTTTAGCATCTTGTTAAGTTAGCGCGCTTCCAATGACACTAAATCCAACCAAATCAGGCGAAGTTTGCTGAAACACATCTAATTAGCTATCCTCGTAATTAATTAAGCTTACTTACTTAGCCGGGTTGAAATTCCAAAATTCGGTAGTTCAGTTATATCCATTGTTACTTGAAATTTTCGGGGCATGCTAAAGGTCTCTTATCTACGTACTACGGCGACCTTGATCGTTTCAAACCTGGTTTTACATTAGCAATAGCGGCGAATAATTAATAAACGGAACGGAAATTACAAAATATTAAATTTGCCGCGGCCCCAAACGACGAGAGCTTTCGGATGCTGTAACAATAATTTAAATATCCCCACCCTAAGGGAATGGTTACAAAACTAATCAATGGTTTTTTTTACTATCGATTGAAAACGGCGAAACAAATTAAAGCAATTAATTCTACATTCTATTGCGTATTGCCAACTCCTGGAAGAATAGGTATGCCCAGAAGTTACGGTTTTTAGTAATGAAGTGCGCGATTGATTTCATCCATATACAGTGCCATAGTTAAAGCTGTTAGAAATTGCACAACGCAAAACGGCATCTTTTAATTTTGCCTCTCTACGTCCAACTTTTTGAAAAGAACAAAGAGATCCTAACGTCCTCAGTTTGGGGTTGGAAAAGTTACTTGCAAGGACATCTCCTAGTAGGTAACCGAGTGGTTCTCCAGCTCGTGCCTTAGGGGTGTAGTGGCAAATATGCAGTAAGGCAGCACAGATCTGCCAGTTATGCTGGAAGTCTCATTATGAAATTTAAATGCATCATTATACGAAAAGAAACAGCCCCCTCTACGTTTCCTCTTTCGCAATTTGTCCATAATAAATACTTACACAACTCTACACGAACGAACGAAAATAACAACCCATAAATTATGTGATAGATTTTAGAAGAACAGCGCTGATCGATTAGCAGGTATAAATAAATATGTGGCCTGTCGTAGTTACGGATAGGTACACAATTATGTAATCATATGCGAGATGAGATGAGCAGGTGGGAGATTACCAAAATTAAAGCCTCCATCCATAAGTATTAAACAACCGATGACAACAGCGCATCAGGTTGAAAAGAAAATAACTGGCCATCTTCTTGCCTGTGTCCGTGACCCTATTCTACTTTATAAGGTTGGTGTGATGAAAAGTAACCATATAGGGTTCGTATTACGCTGTTAACCTATCCTTTTACCACAACTTTTTGACTCTTACAATTTGTACGGATTCCACCACGATTTAATTGAATAAATCCTCAAAGGAAACCGCTAACGCACTTGTAGGTAAACTTTCTCACACTACTAAGAAGTGTAGTTAGTAGGTCTTATATTATAGTGTGTGTTTTTTTTTGTTTTTGGCAGAAAAAACTACTTGTCAATATGTGTGTAATTAATCTCTATCTATCTCCATAACTTATCTGAGAAAGAAAGTAATTTAATTAAGCACAAAATATTTAAAAATATTCTCACTCGCTCTATTAATTATTAGGTGGGTACATAGATACTTGATGTTATTCAGTTTCACACACTTCAAAATATACGAAAGAATGCGTTTTGATTTTGTAGGTGGGGGAGGTGTCTAATTGTAATGCAAAATTGGCGGTAGTAACCTTGTACAGTAGGTAACACTAACAATGGTCGGGAAGATTTCGTAAAATTACTCTTCAGTGGTACATTATTGTAATACAATTCTGTGGAGCTTCGAATATAAATATTTTAGCTAAAGGTTGGAAACGTAGGTGTATATTTATGAAATAAATAATAAATATGGACTGGTTAATATGGTTAAATGAGGTTGTTTAACTAATTTCGTAAAATCTACACACCTTACTCCCACGTTCAGGCTGTAGCTATAGAACTCTTTCGAGGTCTTTCATCTAGACAAATCCGTCCTCATCAGTAACGTCCTTGCGAGTGCACGCATTTCAGGAAATCTGATGGTTTACTAATTTTAATCTGAAGAAAACTTCAAGTTTGGTATGGTTCAGTGTATGGGTTAAGGAAGGAATTCAATAGATTTCTCGTTCATTGTTGTCTCATTAATAATCAAAAGTTCGCATTCAAAATTTGGAAAAATTCAACTGGTAAGCAGAATATTCAGTAAAGTTTTAAATGTCATGAAAATTACAAGATTATATTCCTGCTAGCCAGATAAATAAATTTACCTTAGAAAAACATTGTAACCAATAATTCTTTATAAGCAAATTTCAAATCATTAAATAGTTTACGCAATTCGATTTATTCCACTGAGAAAATGATTAAAACGCAAGTAGTAAAGATATTCTGTACCTTGTAACATTTGCCAGATGCAATTATCTCGTCGCCTCAGATTTTATCTGCGTGGAAACAAACCAACGCCTGCAGGCTGTGTTCGATGTACCGCCTTGAGATTCTGTATTTTGGAAAGCACATTCAACGCCTCAATCTTCTCCCAACTAATCCAAGGCCTTTCCATAACTAATCGTAAGTCTTTAAAACTAACAACTGCAAAGCCAATAGAACAAAACTCTGTTTATATGCGCGACCATTAATCAATGGAAAGTTCTCAATTTATAGTGAAACTCAATTGTCTAGTCTAATCTAGTGAATCGTTATTTATAATCCAGCTCAAACTCAAATTCTCGCAGTTATTATCACTTTATTTGTTGGGTTAACGCCGATTTAATTTGGTACTGTTAATAACTTTATTCACAATCATGTATGTAGTATGTCAATTCTCAACTGTTTTGAAGTTTGCAAGTGAGCAATTGTTTGACATACTGTGCGAACCTCGTCGAGCTCGGCAAAGTCGGTGACTCGACAGCAACTCATTTTTGATCGCACAGTACTACCCCATTAAGTCAGATTATGAATAAAATAGCATACAAACCTCGGTGGTCGGTGGTTCATAACCAACGCCTCGCGCTTATACCTCACCTCCGTCGGTGATGTGCCTTAAGCCCTCGGCGTGGGTAATGAACCACTTCCCAGCTCGGTATGTAATCTACTGTTACTTACGTGTGCACCTTTTAACCACTCCACTTTCAATTGGTCCTAAAAGGCCCGCAACTTAATTACCAATAAACATTTTTATTTCGAATCAGGAGTAAAAGCTATAAATTACTTTAAATTGAAAAAACGTAGCCTGTCACATAACTAAGGTTATACTGGGTCAGTAAAAGTCTCGGAACAGTCGATTATCTGAGGTATTTATGAAGCAATTCTTATAATAATTGGCGAGCTTACATAAAAAATGTTAACGCATTTAATTAATGTAATGCGTTCTTTTTTTGACTTCCGGTTTACGCGGAAATTAATAATTTTTTATTTTTAAATGCCACACCTTGTATATTTTATTGTTATCGGACGCAGAATAAAGAACTAGGTTAGAAATGTTATAACTAAGGTTTTATTTGAAAAGTGATAGGTGACAATTTAAAAACCTGGTCACTTGCGACCGACGAAAGCGCATTTTCCACGCACAAAATCAGTAATAACTCGGGACGGAAGTCGTTCTGGAGGACTTGTAGTCGTACAGACGGACAAAATGCAGACAATAGCGTTCATTTCCTTTTGGAAAATGCGCTAAAAAATACAAATCGTATTACCTTAAAATTAAGCGCACTGCAAATGTTCGAAATGTTCTCTATTTACCCCAGTCAATCATGAAATTAGGTCCAGCTTTTTGTACAACTTGTGGAGAAACCTCTCGGTTTGATTGCACCTACAGCACCTACGTATTGGTTTTGGACTATGCTTAAATGTCAAATTTATGTGTATTTTGGTTTTTGACTCCAAGTAATAATAATTAAATTGAAAAATCTTTCAAAGGCTGCGAAATGTCCGTTTCATTCCATTGTCTACGAAAACTGTCCATTTTAGGTATAAGGATGTAATTAAAAGTCACCTTATTTTTCCATAAAAAAAATTAAGCATTTTCAAAACTGCGAAATTTGACATGAATTTCTGAACACCCTGTGTACATTGTTAGCGCATTTTTTAAGAAAAAAAAAAGTGGTATTGTTTGTCCTGGATTTTTTTGCAGTAGGTAGCCTATACCCTGAAGGTGTGCCAGACGGCCATCAAATTTCGCTGTCTAAAAGGGGGCCCCCCACGAATTATTTCCTGAGATGCTATTTTTCAAACTAAACCGTGCATAACTTTTACATACGACAACCAATTGGTCTCAGAGTTTGCATACGCATACCTTTATGCCTTTAGTGGTGCCAAGTTAAACTTTAGACAAGGGGGGGGGGGGGAAAACACATGTTTCACCCTTCATGATATTCTAATGAAAGGTCTCATCGAAATAAATTAGTTTGTACAAACTATAACTTGCCCGTACGACTCTCTTTCGAGATCATTGTATTTAAATAAATACAATAAGCACTTATGAACACTAACACAATCACCACCAACGAAATCATCGAATTCAACACATCCCACATTTATAATTTAATACCCCTATTCAATAACCTACACATACACGCCACTGCACATTGTTGCTACTTGTTTTATCTCATTTATGTAAGTTAATTTTAAATTAATTAATATATTAATGGTTGTATGTGATGTTCAATTTTACTATTTTCAATAGTTATATTCCACATCCATAAGTAACACGCACTTCATGTTAAAAACGCTGCCTTTTAAACAATTGACGGTTAGCACTGTTCCAGGTTTATCATTAATTAACACAGGATATATTATAGTTAGGCCTGATGATGGCATTTCGCCGAAATCCATCGCCACAGAAAATATAAAATAAACGTTATAACAAATTCGATTTTATTTACCAGTCTTATCATAACGTTTCGACAAGGGAGATTTTCATCAAAAATATACGGTGGTATTTATTAAGAATTAGACATGGGGATTTACGTGAAGTATTTACTTAAATTTCTTCTGAAGGGCGCCTAATTTTATGCCACCAAAATAACTTCTTAAAACAAATAAAGATCTGGCTGTCATATTATTAATTTGAATATTATTGCTTTAGCGTCCGTATTTTTATTTTTGTTCGTGAGCGATGTACCTATTCAATTGAAGAAAAAGTTGATATTGCCAATTGGTCCTTTATTTGTTTTATGCAGTTATTTTGGATGCATAAAATTAGGCGCCCTTCAGAAGAGATTTTGTGATTTAAAAGCAGACATAGGGAAAACCTTCACGTAAATCCATACGTCTACTTCTTAATAAATATCATTGTATACAGAGTTGGAAAAACTTGCTAGAACGGTCGATTATTATTATTAAGTATATATTGCATATAGTATTTAATGAGCATATCCTCCTTTGTGATGGTCAGTAATGTTGCCTTGACGTGTGATAAAACACAAGAGACGATGTCAGTTTATTTTATTACGCCACTGCCAATGGTGACGCTACTAATA